GGCACAGGGGAAAGGTTGAGTTGCAACTTGAAAATGGCATGCATGGGCACAGGGGAAATGTTGATGTTATGAGTTGGGAATGGCATGCATGGGCACAGGGGAAATGTTGATGTTATGAGTTGGGAATGGCATGCATGGGCACAGGGGAAAGGTTGAGTTGCAACTTGGGAATGGCATGCAAGGGCACAGGAGAAATGTTGACGTTGTGAGTTGGGAATGGCATGCATGGGCACAGGGGAAAGGTTGGCGTTGTGAGTTGGGAATGGCATGCATGGGCACAGGGGAAAGGTTGAGCTACAACTTGGGAATAGCATGCATTGGCACAGGGGAAATGTTGATGTGAGTTGGGAATGGCATGCATTGGCACAGGTGAAAGGTTGACGTTGCAACTTGGGAATGGCATGCATGGACACAGGGGAAATGTTGATGTAGTGAGTTGGGAATGGCATGCATGGGCACGGGGAAAAGGTTGAGTTGCAAGTTGGGAATGGCATGCATGGGCACAGGGGAAAGGTGGTTGAGGCGGGTTTGGCCTTCCCCCCTCCTCACCTTGACAGCTTCGGCATGGGTCACCTTGTCCAGCGGCTTGTCGTTGACCTTTAAGATCCGGTCCCCTACCCGAAGGCCCTCTTTATCTGCCAAGGAGCCCGGCTCCACCAGGGAGACATAGATGCCCACGCCGTGCTCGGCGCCCCCTCGGATGCTGAACCCCAATCCTTCTTGAGCTTTCTGCCTCTTGAGGGCCACCTGCCTGACCTCCCCTCGCAGCTCCTCCAAGCCAACCGCCGAGTCCCCGGGAGCTGTCCCGTCCGCGGTGGTGCTGAATTCTTGCCCAAGCTTTCCGGAGGAGGAGGAGGACGAAGAGGGAGGCCAGCAACGAGCAGCCGCCGGGGTGGGAGAGGGAAAGCGGGCGGAGGAAGCCGCGCCGGCTGGAGGGAGGACTCTGCTAGACCCAGCCCCGTCGTACCCTGCCCCGGCGGCGGCCAAGAAGTCCGCCTTTAAGTAGAGCCCCTCCGAGGTGTACTGGTCGAAGAGGAGCTGGTCCGAGCGCGGGATGACCAGGCGCAACATGGGCAGCAGCTGCCTCTTCTCCGGGCCGTCCAGCAAAACTTGGAGCGTCTGCACCAAATCGTAGACATTCCGCCGGCAGTGATAGACGTTCAGGCAATGGATGAACTGCTCCCGCTCGCCTTCGCTCAGCAGCAGGTTGAGAGCCGCGTGGAGCTTCCGCACGTTGGCCGACAGCAGCCGGATGCCGGGTCCGGGCCCCCCGCTCCTGAAGCCGGCCTGTCCCGTGGCCCCCTTGGCCGCTCCGTCGAAGGAAGGCGAGGAAGAAGCGCTGGAGGCGCGCGAGCCCACCGACAGGCGGTCCAAGTCTGCGTTCATCGCCTCGGGCCAGAGAGAAAGAGAGACGGATGCTGGGGCGGTCGTTGGGGAGCTGGGCATCGGAAGGCAGCCGGACGTCGGGGCCGTTCACTTGGGGGGCTCCCTTCTCCTCGGCGGCCCCCTTGGCTGGAAAGGCGGAGGAGGCATGGGGGGGAAAGCAGAGCAAGGAGACGCCCGGTGGGTCGGCGGAGGGGCAAGCGCGTTCCGGAGAGGCGTAGGAGGCGATCCTGGCCGGCGTCGCTTCTTCCCCTGCGGCGGCTTGTTCTTTGCAAGGCGAGGACGGAAAAAGAGAGAGGGGGGAAGGAGGGAGGGAGGGAGGGAGAGAGAGAGAGAGACAGAAGAGAGAGAAAAGGAAACAAGAGAGAGAGGCTGAGGGAGGAGGGGGAGAGAGAGAAGAGAGAGAAAGAAAGACAGACAGACAGAAGAGAGAGAAATAGAAATAGGAGAGAGGGGGGGAGGGAGGAAGAGAGTAGAAAGAGAGACAGGAGACAGGGAGAGACAGAAGAGAGAAAGAGAAACAGAAGAGAGAGAGGGAGGGGAGAGAGAGAGACTCAGAGAGAGAGAGAGGAGAGAGAGAAAGAGAAACAGAAGAGAGAGAGAAAGAGAAAGAGAAACAGAAGAGAGAGAGAGAGGGAGGGAGAGCAGAGTCAGAGAGAGGAGAGAGACAGAAGAGAGAGAAAGAGAAACAGAAGGGAGAGAGAGGGAGGGAGAGAGAAGAGAAAGAGAAACAGAAGAGAGAAAGAGAGGAGAGAAAGAGGAGAGAGAGAGACTGAGAGAGAGGGAGAGAGAGGAGAGACAGTGAGACAGAAGAGAGAGAGAGAGGCAGAGAGGGAGGAGAGAGAAAGAGAAACAGAAGAGAGCGAGAGGAGAGAGAGAGAGACTGAGAGAGAGGGAGAAAGAAGAGAAAGAATGAGAAACGGAAGAGGGAGGGGAGATAGAGAGAGAGAGAGAAGAAAGAGAGAGTTCAGAGGTGGATCAGCCCCGCGTGGAGGATGGGATCCGTGGCCGAGTCCGCGGCGGCCGGCTGGCCTCTCTGCCTTCCGCCGAGCGCACGCATCGCCAAGCTCCCAAACTCCCTGGCGCCTCCTGCTTGGCACCCCTCCGCTTCGCCCAAAGAGCAACAACCACACCGAATCNTGTTTTAGCCTCCAGTCCCCTAATCATCTTTGTTGCTCTTCTCTGCACTCTTTCTAGAGTCTCCACATCTTTTCTACATCGTGGCGACCAAAACTGAATGCAGTATTCCAAGTGTTTGTTTCTTCCAACAAGCCAGCATCAACTGAGTTGGTTCAACATGGTGGAGGGGAATACAATCCATGGTTTACAAACTACAAAGGCTGATCTCGTACAAAAATGCCAACGCCAACAAACCACATAAAGGCTTCCTTAAATATGTAGACTCAACTACAGAGAAGGGTGTGGATGGAATGGCTCACAACTACACCAATTTATCCAAAGAAAGATATCTTTGGTTCTCTCCTAAGTCTTCCATTCTCCAGTTCTGCCGTTACAACAGCGAGAAAGCCTTCTTTTTGTGCTCTGCACAATTTTATAAACTATTAGGATATTTTATCTCCCTCTTTAAAGAAGCTTTCCGTTTTCTATATATATATATAGCCACTGTTTTAACAAGGCTGGGAAGAAACTAGATTAAAACTGAGGACGTTAATGGCTTCTTTTCAAGGACAATTTCTGAATTGGGAAGCCTATTCTAACATTTACATCTTGTTTCTTCTACTGGGAGCTGTAGAATGCTCTAATAATTTCTCATTGGAGGGAGAGGGAGAGAGAGAGAGAAAGAGAGAGAGAGAGAAAGAGAGAGAGAGAGAAAGAGAGAGAGAGAGAGAAAGAGAAAGAAAGAGAGAGAGAGAGAGAGGAGAGTGCAATTACTTTACTCAGTTTTATGGTTTTCAAAAATAAACAATGAGAGCTCCTCGGAAAATCGTATTTTAAAAAGATGAAAAAAAGAAGGTTCAACCAATTTGACATCACCTTTGTCAGTTCAATTTATTGACATTAAAGTGAAGGAAGGAGAGAGAGATGAGGAGGAAGAAAGGGTCAGAGAAGGAAGGGAGAGTCAAGGAAGGGAGGGAGAGAGGGAGGGAGGGAAGGAAGGAAGAGAGAGAGAGAAAGATGTGAAGAGGAAGGAAAGAAAGAAGGAAGGAAAGGAGAGAGACATATGTGAGAAGGGAGGAAGGACAGAAGGAAGGAAGGGAGAGAGACAGATGTGAGGAAGAAGGAAAGAAGGAAGGGAGGGAGACATGTGTGGAGAAAGGAAAGAAGGAAGGAGGGAAGGGAGGGAGGGAGGAAGGGAGGGAGGGAGACAGATGTGAGGAGGAAGGAAGGAAGAAAAGAGGGAAGGAAGGTAATAGAGTGACAGATGTGAGGAGGAAGGAAGGAAGGGAGAGACAGATGTGAAGAGGAAGGCAGGAAGGAAATATTTGCAGCTCTTCATGGGAGATGGGACTCAGCTACAGTAAGTGGCAATTTTAAACAATCTTTGATTTTGTAAACCAGATACGTCCCTGATTAATACTCGGATCAGAGATCACCAGAAAGACTTATGGCTCTAGGCCAAGCTCAGAACTAAGAAACAAAATAAGAACATTCTGGGGGGAAAAAAGATAAATCAATTCCACTCGTTGCAAAGGAAACGACTAAGGGACGTTGTTTCTTGATTCCCCAGGATTTGAACTCAGTTCAAAGAAAGATATATCTACTTTCCATCCATTAGCAAGGATGGAAAACTTCTGGCGAGTGCGAACCATCTGTCCTGAATCCTTGTTCTATTCCCAGGAAGGATTCGGATGCCAGATATTTGAACAAAGGGTCAGGAAATTTAAAAAAAAATAATAATTTCTTTTTCCCCCCTACAAAAAAATAAAAAAAAATAGACCCCGGGGCTGATTCAATTACTTAGCAAAAATTGATGAAAGAACATATGCTCTGCGATATACCGATCGGGCTTGCCAAGTATTTTACATAAACGCTAATTGGCAAAAAAAACCAACACCTCAACTCTACAGAGGAAAAAGCCAATGTAATTATTGCTAGGTTCAGCACCAAGCAAAGTTGGGCCTGGAAACATGAGGACAAATGACTCAAGATTATCCCGAGAATTCGTTCCTGCGCCTTTCCATCACGCCTGGCCATCCATTACGTCTTTTTTTTCCATCTTGCCGGTAGGGAAGGAGATTTTCATACCAGCATTGCTGCAAAATGTGGGATTTTTTTTCCCTATTAAACCTCCTGTCCTGCCTCTTGAGATAACGGAAATTGCTCTCCTCGCCTGGAATTAATACTTCTATCACTTCTGTACATCTGACTAAGGAAGGAATCACACACTTTGCTTCGCACCTTCTCAAGCAATTTGCCCGAGCCACTAGAGTCAGTGTTCCAAATAGCATCCAAAAGTAAATCAGAATCCAAGGCAAAGCATTGCTCAAAGTTCCAATTGATTAAGAGAGGCATGTTGGCACATGTGGGAAAACCCTGAATCTGAAAGCTTCCCGGTTTTCCCCACCTAGTTGAAAGTTCAAGATCTTGCCCCCCCACACCCACAAGTCCATCACATGGTCCAATCTCCCACTGTCATGCTGGCAGCTTCCATCCATCCAGTTCCAGTCAGANATTTTTCTACTTGCATTTTTTATGTGCTTTCGAACTGCTAGGTTGGCAGAAGCTGGGACAAGTCACGGGAGCTCACTCCATTATGTGGCGCTAGGAATTCGAACCATTGAACTACCGACCTTTCTGATCAACAAGTCTTAGCCACTAAGCCACCGCGTTCCTCCAAGTTTGTATTTAACCTCCCTTATCAAATTCTAATGCATTTCACTTCCAAACCAGCTAAGATTCCTGCTCTCCCTCTTTAGAATTCTTACCAGCTACCTTATACTTTCTCAAAGCATTACATGCCTACCACAATTTCCCCATCCTCCTATACCTGAATATTTCTCATCTGAGCACAACCAGAAAAATACAGAATAACAGAGTTGGAAGGGACCTTGGAGGTCTTCTAGTCCAACCCCCTGCTCAGGCAGGGAACTTTATATCATTCCAGACAAACAGTTGTCCAATCTGTTCTTAAAAATCTCCATTGATGGAGCACCCACAAGTTCTGGAGCCAAGATCCACTGATTAATTGTTCTCACTGTCCGGAAATTTCTTCTTAATTCTAGGTTGCTTCTCTTCTCGGTTAGTTTCCATCCATTGCTTCTTGTCCTGCCCTCAGGTGCTTTGGAGTATAAGTTGACCCCCCTTTTTTATGGCAGCCCCTCAAATATTGGCACCCTGCTATCACATCATCCTTAGTCCTTCTTTTCATTAAACTAGATAAAACCTAATTCCAGCCACTGTCCTATGTTTTAGCGTCCAGTCCCCTAATCATCTTTGCTGCTCTTCTCTGCACTCTTTCTAGAGTCTCCACATCTTTTTTTTAACCAAGGCGACCAAAGCTGCATGCAATACTCCAAATGCGATCTTACCAAGGCATTAACAAGTGGTATTAGCGGTCCATTAACATTCTAAAGTGGTATTAAATCAGTATGGTAGGGTGGCTGCTGTTTACTCTATGCTAGAAGCTGAAGTGATATGGAAGATTATTGTTCTGGCCAAGGCTTCCCAGGAGCCTGAAGCAAACTCCTTGTCCCGACAAAAACTCCTTTTATTCATTCACTGTGAATTCCGCTCATTCACATCCAGCAAAGTCTTTTCAAGGGAGGATTTACAGTCACAGACCTTATCTGGCTTGGAGAACTACCAGGCCGATATCTGCAAAACTTGGCAAGGTGTGTCGGAGAGTCACGAACCAATTAAGCGAACTAATTGCCTCCTGCAAACTCCACTCCCCTTTCGCTCTTCTTTTATTCCCTCTGGGAGGGGCCATTCACCGTCCACCGGTTGCCTTACACCCAAGTCGACCCCTGTTCTTTATCTGTTCCCTTTATCTGGCCACTCTGCGCATGCACACACTGGGAACAGACTCCAGCTGTTCTTCT